GGGTAGGTCAGCTGGTTAAGTGTCTGACTCTTGGTTTTGACTTAAGTCATGATCTCAGGGTCGTGAGATGGGGCCCCACATCAGGCTCTGAGCTCAGTGGGGAGTCTGCTTAAGATTCTCTCTCTCGGGGCACCTGGGTGGCGAAGTCATTAAGCGTCTGCCTTCGGCTCGGGTCATGTTCCCAGGGTCCTGGGATCAAGCCCCGCATCGGGCTCCCTGCTCCGCGGGAAGCCTCCTTCTCCCTCTCCCGCTCCCCCTGCTCGTGTTCCCTCTCTTGCTGTGTCTCTCTGTCAAATAAATAAAATCTTAAAAAAAAAAAATTCTCTCTCTCCCTCTGTCCCTCCCCCCCAAAAAAACCAATCAAACAATCTCTCCCTCTCCCTCTCCCTCTCTACCCACACACACACACACACACACACACATCTCCGTGGGTGATAGTAGTCCTGGAAAGCTTTCAAGGGTGAGTACAGAGCAGGACACACCTCTCTCACTCTGAATACCTATGGTATTAGAGGTCAAATGACTGCATTGTTCAAGCCACTTTGTAAATGTAGTAACATCCCAGCCCTTTCCTTCTCCTGAGTAGAATGGCTTACAGGACTGAGGGCTGAGGCAGAAGTGGAATTAATGCCCCATCCCTCCTTCACTGGCTGGCCAGAGACCCCTTCCAAGTAGGGTGGGCTTTGCTGGGGAAAAGGGGATGTGAGGGAACAAGGAAAGACCCCGGGTGCAGGGAGCTGCTCTTGAGGGCAGGGTGGGCACAGAGGAGCTGCCTTGGGGATGGATGGCCCATCACCTCCCCACTCTGGCCTCCTATCAGAATTCCTGTCAAATTCAGCTCCACATGGCCATCAGAGTGATTTTCCTAAAGCACCCCTCATGACATTTGCCATGTTTCAAGTTCCTTGCAAGGCTTTCCTGTGACCTTAAGATAAAGCCAAATGTCCTTCCTATGACTTACAAGGCACTGTGTGACCTGGTCGTGGCCAGGCCAGCCCCTGCCCTACGCAAACCTTGGCCAGATGGAACTCACTAGACCCTAGTATGTGTGCTTGCCTGTGTCTGGAACACTCCTTATCTCCTTCTCCCCTGCAGCACACCCTTCAAGTCTCACCTGGGCTAATGGCTCCCTCCCCCCATCTACAAAGCAGCCCTGCACCCCTCCTCTGGGTCCCCAAGCCCTGGCTCAGTGACCCCTCCAGAACTTCTGTAGAGAAGGGCCTTAGACTCAGGCATGTGCTTGGGTGGCTTTAGGGGGCCTAATGGTGAAGTACAGGAGCAAATTTTGCCATCCCAAAATATGCCTTTTTGGCATATTGCTTATTTTAAACTGGTTATTTTTAAGAACCTGCAGACAAAAGAGAAGTTCTGAAAACCAATAGAAGTTACCATTTTGTAAGAGACATTTAATGTGTATAAGGGAAACTCCATTTGTAAGAGTGTCTCCCTCTCTGTACCAGGAAGAGGGGGATGACTCTAAATCTCTAGAAACTCCATCAATGGAGAAGGCTTGGACTTAAATCTGCCACAACCTGACCCTTGTTGACTGCGCTTTTCCTGGTCACCTCCCATAACTGACTCCCTACCCCAACACCTTTTGTCTTTAGTTGGAGATGGTATCTAAGGTGATGACTTCAGCCACTTCAGGAGCTACTCCATTTCCCTGGGTCTCCCCCATGTACAGAGAAGATATACATGCTGTTAAACATTGTTTGATTTTCTCTTGTTAGTCTGTCTCATGTCAGTTTGATTCTTAGACCAGCTAGAAGAATCTCAAAGGGTAGAGAAAATCCACCACCACCCCCCCAGCAGTGATCAAGGGCTGATCACAGAGGACTGCTCCCGCCCTCCCCTTCCCAAGAATGGCCACAGCTACCTGTTTTTACATCTCACACCACCTGGTGCCTGGTACAGCCCGGCACACAGCGACGCTCACTAAATATCACCACTCCCTGCTCTGCATTCTTCCATTTGCTGTCTGGCTGGGTGACCTCTCTCCAATCTCTTCCCCTCTCTGAGTCTCCTTGGCTAATCAGAGCCTTGCTTTCATCTGCAAACTCTGAAGTTCCGGACAACATAAAGGGGGATGATGATAGCACCCTAGGAATGCATGTTCGTGATAAATTGCAGAGGATTTTTGAAGTGTTATAGAACAGCATGTACAGTCCAAAGTGTGCATCTAGAAAATAATTACCATCTATTGGACTTAGTCGGAGCTGGGCTCTGACGCACTAAGAATGGCACTGTGTGTACCACCTCATTAATCCTTACCACCTTGCCGGCTGGGTACCGCCAGCAGGCCCTGTAAGGAAGAAGCAGCTGAGGTCCAGAGCAGCCCCCTAGCTAGCGAGGGGCAGAACTGGACTTGACCCCAGCTTTGCCAAGTCCAAAGGCCATGCATGCTCTTCACCGCCTGGCCAGTTGGTACCTCTGTGCAAATTGGGAATAATAATAGCTCCCGCCTCATAGGGTTGTTGGAGGATTAAATGAGCTAAGAGGTGCAAAGCCCTCAGGGTGGCTCCTGGCAGAGCCTAAGGGCTCAGCCAGCACCATCACCCACAGCCGCACCGGACTGCCTCCGGGCGGGCCCTGCAAGACCGTACTCAGAAAAAGTTAACGGTGGTGTCTCTCTGGCCCTGAAGTCCTGGGTGATCATAGTTTTTTTTCTTTTTCTATACTAATCAGGTATTCATTGTATATTTCTTTCTTTTTAAATTCTTGCATGAATGATGCCCTCAGTGAGCAGTCACTCTTCTCAAAGCAGGCCCGTGAGATGTCTGAGTCACCTCCCCAAGGCCTGGCACAGGGAGACCCCCGGGGAAAGGATCATAGCACGGGAATAGCTCAGAGGAGCCCTCCCGGCCCAGGCTCTCCAGCCACACGCTTGGCAGGAGCCAGAGTTGGGGGTGAGGGGTGCGGATCAGTACCAGGAACTGGCCCAAGCTAAGCCTCTTCTTTGTTGGCATTCCCCAAAAGGCACAATGAGATGCCTTGTGGCCCTTCCGGGCCCCAGGGGAGCGGTGGGAGCAGCCGTGATGCGTGAGACCTCCGGCCCTGAATCCACCAACAGCTGTGACCACTTCAGCTATTTTAAACCCTTGGGCACCGGGAGGCTCCCCTCACACCGACCAGGCGCTGCGACCCAACACCCATCGCAGGCCTTGAGCCAGGGGCAGGAACCCAAATGTGGGTCCACTGGGTCCAGGAGAAGGGGTTTCATCTCTGAGTGCTTGCTTTGTACCAGGCACTGTGCTACTGTTTCCCACACATTGTCTCATTTAATGCCATCCTCACATCTATGCTGAGAGATCAGTCGTTCACAGAAGACAAAAACGAGCTGCCAAACGGCAGGGTGAATTGCCCAGGGCTCCACAACGGCAGTCACCACAAAGGAACTAGAACTTGGGTTTCTTCATCTACCAACTAAGAGACAGTTCCTTCTCTGCCCTTCCCTGCCCTTCCCCCACCTTACCCGTTCCCCACGGCCACGCAAGTTCCTACCCCGGCCCCACCACTCTCGGGAGCCGGGAGACTGAGGGCAAATTCCTCAACCTTTGTGCGGCTCGCTTTCTTCATCTGGAAGGTGGCAGGGTTATTGGGAGGGCACCATGATCTAATTCGAATACATGAAAAGTGCCGCTGGACCAGTGCCTGGCACCTAAGAAGAATGCATTAAGGGCCCGCTCATTCCTTCTCTCCTGGCAATCACCACCCCTTGCCTGACGTTATCACTATCCTGCTCCCCACCGTGACCTGCCAGGCCCCCGGGTGGGGGTGCAGCATTCCCCCCCCAACTCCGGGGCCCTAGTTCCCCAGTGGGTGAGATGAGGGTATCATGCTTTGTGACCCCAAGAAGGGGGGGACCTCTGGCATATGCGACCTCTGGCCACATAGTAGGAGCTCAACGGTAATTCCAGTGGAGGGGTGCCCAGACAAGAGCCCACCTGGGAGGAGCCTCAAAGTCAGCTCCCAGATGCACAATCTTTCTCCTCTTCGGCAGGTAGCTGCCCTCGAGCTGTCTCCTGAGTCTCATTCCTATCAAAAGTTACCAGGGTCTCCCTGGCTCTGTGAGCCTCTGGGGGCAGGTGCCCCCCCCCCAGCCCAACTCAGGCCTTTCCCTTTGTCCACCCACATTCCTCCCAGATCCTGGCTACCCACGAGCCACCGGGCTAGTCACCATCTCCTAATTTGGGCCGCCTCAAAAAGGCCGCTGGGGTCAGAAGCTGGGTGTATCTCAGCTCTGGGCGCTTGTGAGCCTCCATCCTCTCATTCAGGTGCACCCCCTCCCAGGGCTCCCATTCTCCCAGCAACACTACCCCCTCCTCAAACATGTACCCCCTCCAGCCTGCCCCCTCCGTCTTGTAACCTCTGTCTACTCCGGCCCCTTCTCGCTGAAGAAGCCACCCCGGGCCTCCCAACTGCACACCCAGCCAGCAATGCCTTCGCTTGGCATTCTGACCCTGTAGGCTGATGGGTTCCCCTGCCAACCGCTCCCCATTCTCCCCGATCCGTGGGGGTGGAGGGGATGTCAGCTTGTGTCCGGCTTCCTGGCTTTGCTCCCAGGACTCCCCCTCCTCCCTTCCCCCTAGTTTGCAAACGCCTCCTTTAGGAAGGCTCAGGTCCGGACCCCAAGCTGGGCTAGGGCGCCCACTCCCTCTGGGCTGCCACCACTTCCTGTCGTCACCCCTAGGACGCTCCACAGCTGCATTATCTGCCCTGAGAAGCTGGGGGCGCCCGGAGGGGAGGCTGGCCCTGCGTCCTGGCGCCCGCTAGCTGGGAGCCCACTGAGAGTATGCTGAGTGAGTGAACCAAGCGTAGAAAGGAGGAAATTGGCAACCGCTGACTTCACCCGGATTACAGGCCCGGGGTTGGGGAAGGGGGGCTGCGCGGGCGATGGGGGGGGAGGCGGGGGGGGGGTTTGCGGGAAGTGTGGGGGCGTGGCCACGCTTGACGACCGGCCGCCCCGCCCACCGGCCGTAGATAAAGCGGAGCGCGGGGCCGCGGCCTGGCCAGCGGGAGTGGGCTCACCTGCCGCAGGTGCTCTGGGCGGACGCGACCTGGACGAGCGCGGACGGGCACTGCGGGAAGATGCTGCGCGAGCGGACCGTGCGGCTGCAGTACGGGAGCCGCGTCGAGGCGGTGTACGTGCTGGGCACTTGCCTCTGGACCGATGTCTACAGGTGAGTGGGGCCACCGCGACGGCCTGAGACCCCCCCCTCCGGCCCCAGAAATCCCGAGAGCCTCCTCGGATGTGGGGACGCGACGGCCTTCCTCCAGCGCGAGTTGCTCCTCATCCTGAGGCCCTTGCATCCAGAAATCCTAAGAAACTCACCCAGAAGCCTGACTGTCCTCAAACTGACAGCCTCCAGAAAATCTTGAGACCCTCTCACACACCCTGACCCAGACCCAGCTCCTTCGTCACCCCTTTCCCAGAGCCCCTCCCCTGGACCCCAGTCTTCCCAGGGTCTGACCCTCTGCAGCCCCTCTCCCAGGACAACCTGGGAGAACCCTAGTCTTTCCCCTTGCTCTCCCCTCAGCACCTCCCTTCTCCCCTCTAGGCTCTCCCCTTCCTCTCAGAACCTTCTGACTCACCACCCACCTCAGATCAGCTGAGCTTCCTCCAAGATCTGCTGGGAGGGGGGGCGGGGCGTGGGGCCGGGCCAGAGAGGAGCTGCCTTGGGGTGGAATCTGGCCCGGGGGGCTACTCAGGCTCCAATTTCGCCCTGTGGGGGCTGCTGGTGGTTGCCTGTCCCCAGGCACTGGCTGTGAGCTCCATGTCCCTGAATGCCTTCCCCTGACTTCACACTGGGGTTGGGGAGGATTTGGTTCTGCCAGGCTGGAGGGTGCAGGGGCAGGGTCTTTGGCAGAAGAGCGTCCCTGACGGCACCCTGTTCCCTCCCCCTCCTCTCTGGCCCACAAATTTGGGTGGGGTGCAGGATTTCTGAGACAGCAGGACATAGGGTGGGGAAATTGAGGTCATGCCCCTCCCCACTGCCCCCAGCCCCCAGGAAGCAGGCAAGTCCAAAGGTCCACCTCCTGTATTCTGTGGGGCATTCTTGCGAAGGTGCGGCTGGTGTGGGTGGAGAGGGTGCCGGCAGGATCATTCCATGAGCATTCTATCAAATCAGCCCTCTATTCCAAGCATGCAAAATGTTTCCGCCTAGCTAGAGTGGGACGGGTCAGCGCTGCAGGAGGGGGCATGCAGGACTCTAAGGTGGGACCCCACGCTGATAACCTCGGGCAGGTCCCCTAACCTCTCTGTGCCTTGAGCTGAGCTGGAGGTGCCAATGTGCCTTATCGCTCCCAAATCATTCTGTCATCCAGAGCACCCCGCCTCCCCCAGGCCCTCATCAAATCCCATCCCTGTGTCTTCCCACACACCCTCCCCAGCCCATCTTCTCGGTCACCTCCGGTGGCCCTGGCAGCCCTGCCCAGCCAGTCCCCTGCCACCTCTTCAGCAGGCACTGGCCATGCTGATACCACTAAGGCCCCAGCCTCCTTCTGCGAGGACAAGGGCCCCATCACCATGCAGACCGGGGACCCTCTCCGCTCATCTGCCCCTGGTCTCAGTTGTCTGCATGGAAACCTCAAGGGTGGTTTCTGAGGGTCATGACACAGCAGGGGACTGTGGTCCCGGCCTCAGTGGCCTGGCAGAGCTCCCCTCTCTTCCCCACCCCCGATCCTAAACCGGGCACTGCAGGGAGCGGGCTAGGAGCCAGCACACTGAGGTCTCTAAGCCTCAGCTGTCCCTATACCCGCCTGTTTGTTCACTAAGGCACTTTGCTGCAGCCTGAAAGGCTGGCATGGTGCCTCCGGTGGGGGGATGGGGAGAAAAGAGGAGGGCCATGCTCGGGCCTCCTGCCCTCCCCTGTCCTGGAAGAGAGAGGCCCAGCCCCAGCGGGGCAGTGCATGGGGCCGGGGTGGACTCCTCATCCTTCCGCTGGCAGGGGGCAGAGGTGTGATGATCCTCTGTGTCCTTTCTCAAGAAAGCCACCACTGCCACGATGACCCCCGTCTCCCAGCTGCACTTCACTCAAGACCCCATCACCCCCAAGGGTAGAACCCCAAGAGTCTACACCAGCACCGTCCAGCAGAAATAACATGCCAACCACAGAGAGCCGCAGGTGTATGCTTAATTTCCCAGCAGCCACGTTTTTTAGGATTCAAATAAAGAGGTGAAATTAATTTTCATAATATATTTTATTTAACCCAAGAGATCTAAAACACTAGCGCTCCAATATCTAATCAATATAAAAATGATTAAGGAGATAGTTTACATTGTCTTTTTTCATACTAAGTCTTTGAAATCCAATGTGTATCTTATACATATGGCTCGTCTCAGTACAGACTCACTGAATTTCAGGTGCTCAACATCCACAGGTAGCTGGTTGTCCCAGTACTGAATAGCACAGGCAGGGGTTCCGACCCTCAGCTCTACTGCATTTGGAACCGGATCATCGTTTGTTGTGGGGGGCTGTTCTGTGCGTTGTAGAATGTTTAGCGGCGTCCCTGGCTTCTTAACCCCTGGATGCTCGTAGTAACCCCCCTGCCACTGTGACAACCCAAAATGTCTCCAGATAATGCCAGCAGTCCTCTAGCAGGAGGACAAAAACACCTCCAGTTGAGAACCACTGGTCTAGTGGAAGGAAGCCTCTTCTAGAACAAAGGAGACGGGCTATTACTGCTCATGTCCCTCCTAGTATCCAGGAGTGGTAAGAGCTAGTGTTAATATGAATAATAGCAGGGATATTAGTGAGCACTTGGAAACCAAATGCATTCTCTTGTATCTTCCTCACCACAGACCTTGGGGGTCATGCTGAGATCATCCCATTTTGTAGATGAGGAAGCAGGGCTCAGAGAAGTGAGGCCAGTCGCCCGATGTCACACAGGATTCGGGTCCAGGTCTGTCTGACTCAGAACCCATGCTCTTAACCTCCACTCTCTTCTGTGTGACTTTAAAACTAGCAAGTTGAACTGTGTGACCCTCTTGGCCTGGGTCTCTTCCACCCTCCATTGCCCCCAAACACTTCACCCACCCCCTTTCAACCCTGCACTTCCCACGGAGTCCTTCTGGACTCAGACACAGATTCTGACTCTGGACCCCACATAATGCCCCCCCACCCAGGGTCTCCAAGGAGACATCAAGGGGCAAGGCCTGGTGGACCTGGGCCCAGTTAGTAAGGGAGTATGTTTGGATCCCTCACTTCCTGAGTGACAAAAGTGAATGAACAAGTCTCAACACCCAGCCCCCCTTCCCAAGGGCTTGGGCCCCCTTTCCTGAGAGGCATGTGCTGCCCCCCTTCCCTGCAGACACACAGTGGGGGCCTCCCCTGTGGGTGAGGGGGTCACTCAGGGGGGTGCTCAGCAGACCCTATGGTTTACCCACCCTTGGGAGTAGATGCCCTGACCCAGGCACATTCTGAGTGCTGGTTTCCAGCGAGCTATAAGTAAGTAAATGCACAGAAAAAAAGGAAGAAGGGATTATTTTTTTCTAGAGATTTACTTTGCAGCAGTTGTTAAAGGTACTTCCTGTTTCCTTCTCTCAGTCCCAAGCATCTTCTCTTAGATCTGGCACATGTACGCCTCGCCCACACCCTCTCCCTGACAGTCCCTTTACCCGGCAGCTGCTTCCTCGCTGGGGCTGACCAGGGTCCCCATCTGCTTCGGGCTTGAAGCTGGAGAGGGCACAGAGCGAGTGGCCTCTCCATGTCGGTTTCAACCTCCCTACTCAACTTTGGTTTCCCTGCAGAGACACCCCCAGAGCTGGGAGAAAGGGCAACCTTGGAGTCAAGTAACGGGGTGATCGCACTGTGCCTGACTGTCCCACTGACCCACAAACCAGGCTGTGTAGACAGCTTCTCCTCTCCCTCCCTTGGTTTATGCATCTGTCCAGGGGAGTGCGAGGCATCCCCTTCTCTCTGGAGAAGAAAGGTCAGGATCCGTTTCCTAAAGTCTGCAGGAGCTTCAGGGCACAGATGACCTTAACAATGGTCTCTTGCCTCTGCAGAAGATTCTCCTAATTACATTTGACCTCAGGATGAGGTGGGAGCGATCCCCCACCCCCTCCCCTGGGATACCCCAAGGCAGAGGCTGACTGGTCATTTTTCCTGACGGGGTCTTGCCCATCACTCTCGGGCAGAAGATAGGCAGAGGGTACTGGGGCAGGAGAAGCAGGCACAGTAAAATGCTGGGAAAACAGGGAAGGGTACAGAGATGTACCCCACCTTGGGGAAGAGCCTGGAGAATCAAAATTCACCATCTCACTCCCTCAACTCTTAGACTTCCTCCCCATTGCTCGGTTGGTGTGAGTGTGTTAGAAAATATCCTTAGGACAAAGGCCAAGGAGGAGAGGTCTGTGATCCAGTTAGAAGCATTAGAGAAGTGGGGTGCCATGGTCTCCCCATCCCTGAGAGAGCCAGGCCCTGCCTCACTGATCCCATCTCCTGCCAACTACCCTGCACACACTGCACTCTGGTCATGTTGGTTTTGTGGATGCTATTAGCTCTTGACCACACCAAGCTCATTCGTGCCACAGGACCTTTGTACGTGCTATTCCCTCTGCCTGGAGTGCTATTCCCCAGACCTCTGCAAGCCTGACATTTCATCCATCAAGGCTTAGCTCAGACGTCACCTCCTCTGAGCAGCGTTCTTCACTACCCTTGTTTCGTGGTATCCCACCTCAAGCCCCAGGCACTCTCCACCTCCATACCATTTTTCCTTCTGCAGATCTTATTTACTTAATATTACTTGCTGACATTTATTGAACACTTATTCTGTCCCAGACTACCTTCCTAACACCTTCCATACTCATCTCACATGTATTTAGTAAATTTACACGTGTTTAAACCTCACAACAATTTTAGGAGTTAGGTACTGTTCCTGGCCCCCTTAGTTGGGGAAACTGAGATAGGAATGCTTGTGCAAGTTAACACAGCAGTCAAACGGTGGCGGTGCCACGCCCAGGTCCCAGACCACTCTGCCAGGCTGTCTTCTGGGACTTATGTTTCAGGAGTGTCCCCCTCCACACCCTCTGCCTTCCTTACTGCCCTGTACCTCCAGCCCTCACATCAATAAAGGGCTCCTTCATTGAGTAAATGAATGGATGGATGTGGCCAGTGATGCATGAAGATTGAGCTGTCACGGGACTGAGCTCTCCACCCCCCAGCTTCAAGGGATGAGC